TTCTCTTCCTCCTGCTCCTCTTCTTCCTCCTCTTCCTCCTCCCTCCTCCATCTTCTCTTCCTCCTCTTCTTCTTCCTCTTCCTCTTCTTCCTCCTCCTCTTCTTCTTCCTCCTCTTCCTTCTCCTCTTCCTCCTTCTCATTTCTTCCTCCTCCTCCCTCCTCCTCCTCTTTTTCTTCTCCTCCTCCTATCTTCTTTTCATCTACCTCTTCCTCCTCCATCTTCTCTTCCTCCTCTTCTTCTTCCTCCTCCTCCTTCTTGTCTTCCTCTTCTTCTCCTCCTTCTCCTCTTTCTCCACCTCCTCTTCCTCCTCTCTCCTCCCCCTTCTCCTCATCTGTTCCTCTTCTTCCTCCTCCTCTTCCTCCTCCTCTTCCTCCTCCTCATCTCTTCCTCTTCTTCCTGCTCCTCTTCCTTCTCCTCTTCCACTTCCTGCTCCTCTTCTTCGTTATCTCTTCCTCCTCTTTCTCCTCTTCTTCCTTCTCCTAGTTTGTGTTTAGTAAATGAATCAGACATTGGCCTCATCTCCTGCTGCAAACTGCCCTATTATTCATCCCTGATTCGCAACTCCCCAGTCAGAATGCAGATAGGAAAAATCCAATGGGCTCACACTGTAAACCCTTTTTAGGGGGAAAAAAAAGCTTTTGAAAGACTCAGCTTTTAATCCAATGTTTTATTGAAGCTTGTAACAGAAGGCGGATAACTCTGATTCGAAAGGGGAGCCAGAGTTAGTCATTCATCCTAAAAGTAACTACTGAAATGGAAAAAAAAAATAACTATATGCTGAAAACCTTGTATCAGTTCATCGCATGAATAGAAGTCTTTTGATGGGATGAACATCCATCCTCGGCACGACTCCAAATGATTTGAATTCTTTGGGCTTTTTCAAAACAATCCAAAGTGAAACATCCCAAACAGGCAGTTTCTTCCTTGGCTGCTTGTATGGCTTTGATTAGACCAGTATCAAAATCCTCTCAATCCCCCCCCCCCAAAAAAAAATTACAGTCAGATTGTACATGTTCTGGCATCTGGAGAAAAAGCTTGACATGCATCCCCTCTCTATTGGGGGATTTACGGCTGGCATTTCCGTGAGAGACATTCACACTCTCTGGCATTCAACACTTGGTGATGAACCAGGGAGCCATTGGGGCAACGCAAGGGGACATGCATGGCTTCGGTTGCGGTAGCCGAGCAGCAGGTGCAGATGTCTTCAATGTGGTTCAGGGTTATGTTATAAATGGCTTTGCTTGTACACTTGCCCTGAAAGAGAAAAGGCCAAAGGGTTGGAACTTAAAATCCCAATTTCACTGTGCAAACTGCTGGAAGGATGTCAAAAATTGAGATGTGGACAGACTGTGCCAAGCTGGTGGAAGGAATAGGGTGGCAGAGCTGAGGAGGAGGAGGAGGAAGGAGGAGACAGAGGAAGGATGAGAAGAAGAAGAAGAAGAAGAAGAAGAAGAAGAAGAAGAAGAAGAAGANTCAGGGCATCTTCACCCAGCAGGCTCAACCTGGGCCTCGATTCAACTAATGTTTGGGGTGCCTGCCATCTGCTCGGCTGCAAGAAATTCCAGGCGGGACTCATGGGGAGGAGACTTCAGAGCAGTGTTTCTCAACCTTAGCAACTTGAAGATGTCCAGACTTCAACTCCCAGAATTCCCCAGCCAGCGAATTCTGGGAGTTGAAGTCCGGACATCTTCAAGTTGCCAAGGTTGAGAAACACTGCTTCAGAGCCTTCTCTGTGGTTGATGTGGTGGCTGGAGGGGAGCGCAAACCCCGTGTCCTTTGGGGCATCTTTCTGGGGTCTGGGGTTGGACTGGCTGGTCAACAGTGGGAGGGATTCTCTCTCTCTCTTCCTTTTCATGAGGGGAGGTTCACCCTACCTGCTCTTCTCCAATCCTCTGGGTCTCCCCAGGGAAGGCTGGGAGCTCCACCAGTTCCCTCAGCATTCTAGGATACACAGGTAGTCCTCTACTTATGACCACAGTTGACCCCCAATGTTTCTGTTGCCCAGTGAGACCTTTGTTAAGTGAGTTTTGCTACTTTCTTATCACAGTGAAGTGAACCAATGGTCAAGCCTCTGAACGTGGGATCACGTGGCCATGGGGATGTTACAACAGTCATAAGTGTGAAAAACATAAGTCATTTTTCCCAGTGCAGCTGTAACTTTGAACGGCCACTAAATGGTGTAAATCAAGGACTCTCTGTATTTCAACAGAGCCAAAGGCTGGGAGGGTCCTTTTACTGCATCTTTGCCAACCGGGACCCTCCCCTGTTTTGTTGGTTCCCAGCCTATGCTACCCAGTCCTCTTCCCCCACCTCTCCTCCCCAATTCCCTCTGGATGTAATGATGGGGGCGGAAGAAGAGTTGAGTCCCTCTGATTTCTCCGTTTGGGGTAAGCAGCGAGGGCGCCCCTCCCCCCTCTGCCTTCCTCTTGGCCCCCCTCTGCTTCCCCAGGCCATTAAGGGATTATTTTTAAACAATGCTTCACTTTTATTATAAGGTGTTATCGCTGTTAGCCTGAAGTGTTAAATTGTACTTTCCTCTGTTCTTACTGTATTTATGACATGTTATGGCCTCACGAGGGTTATGTTTCATCCCCTGAAAGTAATGGACGGCCATAAGGTTAGGAAGTCTCCCGTTTTGATAGACACTCACTTAATTGGGTGGGTGGGGGAGATCAATCACCGCTTTGTCTGGGGCCTCAGCCTCTCATTAATTGGCTGAGTATGTTTTTTATTTTTATTTTTAAACATAAAAGACAACATAAAAAAAATTCTCATCCATTACATACATGAGTATGTTTTAATCCTGGTTTATTTTGCAAAATTGTAGACAATTTCTTGGAAAAGTTTTGAAAATAGAGGAAAAATAGAAACACCTAATGTTATGCCTAAATTTCAGACAGAACATAGAACATGAGAGCTGGAAGGGACCTTGGAGGTCTTCTAGTCCAACCCCCTGCACAAGCAGGAGACCCCAATTCCATTTCAGACAAACACATGTCCGGTCTCTCCTTAAAAAACGTCCAAGGATGGAGCAGCCACAACCTCTGGAGGGGAGCTGTTCAGAGTAACATAAGGGACTTTGGAGGTCTTCTTCTAGCCCACCCCCCACTCAAACAGGAGACCCTATGCCAGGTGGCATTTAGTATTTATACTCCCCCAATAACCAGGTTAATTAGGGGGGAAAGACTTGTTTATTTTATTTGTGTAAAGCTTTCATAAATAGGGCCAGACCCAGTGCAGGAGGAGGTGTTGTCATCCAAATTGGAGAAGTGACCCCGGGTAAATCGTGGGTCGCCTGAAGTGAGCCACTCGTAGAAAGGCCTCCGTGGAACGTGGCCTGTGGGAGTGGCAGTTGCTGTCAGAGCAAAGCCGGAGTCCCCTTCCTCTCCTTGGAGCTCATGGGAAAGCGTGAGAATTGGGGGAGGGCCAGTCTGAGCTCCCCCCACCAGCCCTATGGCACTTCCACCCTTCCTCTTTGCCAAGACACCAGGCAGGCTGAGAGAGGGGCACAGCGGGCACGGCCTTGCCACAGGGCAGGGAGGCGATGGGCCGGCAGTAAAGCCAAGCGGCTGCCAGGGCCCAGGAGGGAGCCAGCATTTAATTACAGCCCTCTGGGAGTAATAAGGGTTTGCCATGATTGGCGCTGGGATGCCAGGGCAGAGCCGAGGCTGCTTCTCTTCCTCGCTTGGCCAGTCTTGCTCAAATGGGGCCAAGGCTGACTGGCTCCCAGGCTCAGTCCAGACATCCCCCTGACAGACCTGCCCCCATGGGTGGGCCAGGGCAGGAGGGTGGCCGAGCTGGAGGCTCAGTCGTTCTCTTCACCAGCCTGGGGCTCCTGGCATCCGGCGAAGGCAAGTGGGGACTGTGGTTGGCTGGTAGGCAGCTCCTTCAGGCAGCCCTTTCCAGCAGGAGGTGTGCACAGACACATGGTTCCAGTCAGGGCAGCTGCGAATGTGCGGGGACCAGCTGGTGACAGAAGAAGGGCCAAGGATGGGAGCTGCATTACCTCCTCACCCCCCCCCCTCCTTGTCCTGTGCCTCAGTCTTGGCATTGGACGCAGGGGACTCTGAATTTCTTCCAGAGGGGATTCTGCCTGTGGCCCCGGGGCCTCTGCTTCCTTGGGCGAAGGGTCCCAAGGAGAGCCCAGCCCCTCCAGAGACGGCTTTGGGGGCCTCCTCCAGGCCTCCTCCAGGCCCCACTCCAGGATCAATTCAGTAGGAGCAGATGGGGAACACGGTTGGCCTCCTGGCAGTTCCCTTGTAGCCCCCCTCCCCCCACTTGCCGGGAGAGAAGCTCGGGCCCTCGTCTCGCTCAAAGTTTGCCTTGGGCCAGGAGGGGGAGCAAAGCAGGCAGGCGGGCAGCTCCATCCACTGCCAAAGCGCCCCCCTGCGCAGGCAAGGGGTGGGCCTAGCGGGCACTTGCTCTGCATGCTAGGGGAACAGCATTCTTGGGGGGAGGGGTCCTGGAGAGGTGCCTCCTCCACCAAACCGGTGTGTACTTTTCAGGTGGGGGAGGGGGCTTACCTGCCAGCTCCTGCCTTGCACCATTCCTGCCTGCTGGGGTGGCTGGACCCAGAGACGGCAAGGAGCGTCTGAATGCCCAGAGGGACGAAGGGGTAGAATTGGTCCCCAGCTCTCTTCCCCCAAATTCCACTCCACTGTCTGGGGGGGGGGGTGAAGGAGGGGAGGGGAGGAGCAGGCGGCCCCAGACGAGACTGCATCAGCGCAGGCGGATTGCGGGGGAGCGCCGCAGTGCCAGCCCCCAGATGCCCTAATTCTTCTGCCGCTGGCTCAGAGCTGCGCTGCCCTCGGAGGTGCTGCGTGGCTTCGTGGACGCTCCTCGCCCCTCCTCGGCCAGCTCGCTTGCACTGCTGCGCCCCCGATCTGCGCCCCCTCCCCAACCCACGGAGAGATGTCTCCTGAATGCACGATGAAGTGAAGGGGCTGAGCGGCGGCGGTGACAGCAGCAGCGGCGGCGGCGGCGGCGGCGGCGGAGGGGACGGCTCTGCTCTGCACTGCAGCGGAGCACGCGGAGAAGCCTCCGGACCGGCAGCCGGCAGCCGGGGCGAGCCGAGCTGCGCCATGCTCAACAACCTGACGGACTGCGAGGACGGCGAGGGGGGGGCGAGCCAAGGTAAGAGCGCCCGGGCAGCCCGGATCTGCGCCCCGCTCGCCTCGCCCGCGCGGGCCATGTGCGGCGGCAGCGGCGGCGGCTGGAGCGGAGCCGGAGGGCGGCGCGGCTATTTTTATCGGCGGAGCGCTGGCGGCCGCGCGGCCTCTGCCGCTGTCCAGGGTGCTGGAATG